CCTGGCTACTCGATCTAAACACTTAAAAAAATCTGACATTTTTTCATTAATTTTTTAAAACTGTACTTTCTATGTTTCCTACTTTAGCAGGAAATGAAGCAGCCTGAAAACCATTTTTTAAAGCATTCATTTTTCTGATAGATTAAATGATGACTTATATAGTAAACATAGTCAAGTTATAGCCTAATGATACATTTGATATTTCAAGGAGCAAATAAAATGGTTATTGGTTCTAAGATAGACACACTCAGTTCTTCAGATAAAAAACCAACTCAATATTGTTTATAATAATCAAGAAGCCTCAGATGATTCAGCCAGTCCTGCATGGCAAAGCTCTTGGTCATTTATTCTCATGTAGATAATGTTTATATGAGCTGAAACTTCTGGTAACCACTGTTTACAACCATGTTTTCACTTCTATTATCATTAATTGATGAACATTTAGCTCCATTAAAATTAATAGCCACATAAAAAGGGCTCAGATAATATAATGGAAAAACTCTTGATAATCATTCAGACATAGTTGGCTTTTAGCTTCAACTATTATTTCCCAGAAAGTTTACACCTTAAACTTCATTCTCCAAGCATAGAACTACAGCCTAAACAACACAGTTTGGTAATGGCTTTTGTTGAATATTTTGTATTATTAAATAACTTTGTTGAGTCACAAAGATGGCACCACAAAGGCAGGGCTTATAAGAATCTATGTCTTCAGGGTACAGTACAAAATAAGTATATTTTTTTGGAGAAATTAATGACATTTTCCTATGAAATTCTGTTATAAAACATATGATTTGTCAATTGTCCATATATGTTCTCATTTTGATTACATCGACATTTCCACATCTTAAAAGTATGATTGCCATATTCCATCAGGATCATTAATTAGCTTAATTTCCTGAAAATTAAAATGTTCAACTTCAGTGAAGCTAAGTCTTTAAAGAAACTCCGACTTAGCTTCCCAGTTCTGAGAAAGTTTGTGTGTTTAATGCTTCTAATCCACTTACCTATGGAACATGTGAACTAAATCCACTGCATAGATTTTACTCAGGCATTATGATCCAATCTCTTAAATTATTTCAAAAAATAAGTGCTTTGAAGTATTTTATTTACATAATAAAAAATTGTCACTAATGTTGAATGTTTCCTCATTTTTTTCCTTGAAAGGAAAATATGCTTCAAAATAAAAAAAATTGGAATGTCATTTCCAGAAACAAGTTTTAAAATAATGCTCACTTCTCAATTCTAGTATAGAAATATTAGCGATGTGAAATTAGAATTCTCATCAACATTCATTTCATACCTATAGTCAATCACATAGATACTAAATAGCATTACAATGACTCTCTGATACCTCATAAAAAAACACAGCCACATATACCAAATTTTTGAAGTGTATTTCATTTTAATAGTTCTCTCTTCCTATTAAAACAGAATCCTCTTTTTTATTCAGGTGTGCTTCTGATTTGACGTCATGATAGTGATTTGTATTACCCATTTGTCCCTAATAAAGATTTCAAGCTACAAAATGACAAACAACAAAAACCTCTTTGATAAAGAATAAGCACCTACACTGAGAGGGCATTCTGCATCATCCTTATAAACTGTCACAAATTTACAAACAAGATAAAAGGGAAATATAAGAAAAAGAACATGGATTTTCATTAATTCATTTTCTAAATGTACCAGTAGGTCTTTAAAATATATGGGACTTAATAAAAATCATAAATCATTGTATTTTTCTTTACCACAATTTCTTGTTTAACTTAGCCTAAAATTCTTCATATATAAAATATTCCATTAGTTGGCCACATGACATGAGAAATTCTGTACAACACAATATGTCTAATAAAATTAAGTCAATTTTAACTACAATGTCATTTAAAGAAGCCAACTAAATTATCCAGAAACACAAAGCTTAAAGAGTAGCCTTGGGAATAACTTTTTTCTTATAGCCATTACCAAATCCTCACTGAGCTGATTACCTATGCAAGAATAGTAGCATAAAGCTGAAAAAAAGGCACTAACCTCACTCCCTAGCTTATCTAAGAACTCATAAAAGTAAACGGCTCTAACCACTTTATTTTATTAGGTTCTCTAATAAGTAAAATACTGCTACTTTTCTGCAGTTTGATTAACATTATTAATCATTTGATTCCTTTCCTTTTTTCGACTACCTAAAAAATCTTAATTCTAGCCCTAAAAGTCTATGAAAAACAACATGAATTCAGAAATTTGTCCCTTTGGTTGCAAAACTTCATTATCCTCCCAAAAAAGAATACCCAGAAAAATCTTAAAAGGAAATTAGGACCCCACATTTCATAATACAGCCAGCCCTGGTGACCATCAATCTTACCAGATACTGCTCTATCTTCCGTGTGTATTTAATGGGTGTGGGCCCATTGCCTGATGGGATCTTTACATTCTAAAAAAAAAAATGTGTGGATGACAGTCTTTTGCTTCTTTTTTTGAAACTATGAACCTAGAGTTTGAAATATGTTGCAAATTTAATTCCACTGCATATTGTAGAGTTGATCAGTTTCAGCCCTGATATTCGAAAACACTGAATAACCTATCAACCTAAAGTGCATACATATGAATATGTGCATACATATTATAAAATACTTTGATAATTACATCTCCAATCTATGTTTTACAATGTAAAATAAGAATTATGGTTCTTAGAGGAAAAATGCATACCATAAGTATCTATTCATATGAAAATAATAGTTCAAATATACCTGGAAACTTTTCATTTAAATGCATTAAGGCACTTTCTAGACATTTCAATATGCATTGTATATATTTGTGTGTTTATTAGGGCATGGATTTTTTCATTGTCATAATATTTTTCTATATTAATATAAATATTGCTAATACTTTCATATATTCAGGAATTCTAAAATTTCTTTGTATCTTTATCCCTTTCAGGCATCAATGCTCAACATTTGCCAGCAATTGCTTAACACTTCAACCTGTGTTTTACACTCATTTCACAGATCAAAAGAGTTTTGCCAAACCATTTAGATAATGCTTCTCCAAACTCACTTAGAAAAGAAAAATAAATGATTTCTTCTGAATTATCATATAACCTTAATGGGTCCACAATCACCCCACCCACACCCAACCTCCATCCCATTTTCCACGATGGCACCTACCCTAGTGTTGTCATAGTGACGATGGTATACCAGAAGGCTGCAGGGATGCTGGTGAACTTGCTAGCCGAAGACCCCTTCTCTGCGTAGAACATAACTGTAGCGAAGATGATGATAGCCATGGTGAGCGAAAAAAGCAAGAAGCCCAATTCTGAGGCACAGCTCTTCAGTGTGTACCCCAGGATGCGCAGGCCTTGAGAGTGGCGGGAAAACTTAAAGATCCTGAAGACCCGGAAGACACGGAGTGTGACAAAGGCTCCGCTGACGTCTTCATTGTCTGTCATCACCAGCCCAATGTAGTAAGGCAGGATGGCCACCACGTCGATGATACTCATGACACTACGCACAAAACGGTAACGACTGGGCGCTGCAGCCAGGCGAAGCAAGTACTCAACGGTGAAGATCATGACGCAGGCCGTGTCCAGGCAGAAGAAGGCCACGGCGTACCGCTCCCCACAGGGCAGTTCTTTAATGTGACCTGGGCTTGACCCGCATGGCACTGTTTCTACCACATTCGCGATGACAGACACGGCAATGAAAAACCCCGTGACATAGTAGAACACCAGGGCCATCGTGCTGGTGTGAGGGTTCTCGAAGGCCCGCCAGACCCTCTGCCTTGCAGTCATGGTGGGCAACGCGCTCTCTCCCGTGGTGTCGGTATCCGCGTCGTCCTGCAGGCGCTCGGCGTTCTCTCGCCTGCGATCCTTGTACTCCTCATAACAGCAGTCGCCGATGATTTCCGGGATGAGACCAAAGAAGGCCAATTCTTCATCGTAAGCAGAGATGCACTCGTGGCGAGGGTAGTGGAGCTTCCCAGTGCGGTAGAAATTCAGGATGTGGCGGAAGATGTCTGGGTCACGGTCAAAGAAATACTGCTGAGTCTCTGGGTGGTAGAAAAAGTCCCTCTCAGAACTGCCCAGTAGAGTGTCTGGGTAACGTTCCAGGGTGTCCTGCCACGTCTGGAAGCGGGTGCCACTCACATTCAGCACAATGAGAGCATCTTGGGTCCTTTTCCTCTCCTGCCTCGGGGGAGCCGGCATGGGTCCCGAGGCCACAGGCATCCACCCGATGGCCGCCGCCCTTGCAAAAGGCAGCCACGCTGCCACCCCCGCCGCCATGGTTCTTTGAAGAGGAAGCACGAAGGATACCGAGGCGTCTACAATGGGTCAATCGAGGCAGCCACAGTCACCCACGTCCTCCAGTCAAGCAAAGTACTAGTGAGAAACGTGGTCCAGAGGGGTCACTCTTATTCCAAGGTAGGGCTCCTGGTGAAGTCACAGTTCTCAGAAGGGCAAGTTTCCCTCCAAGACAGGTATTTGGAATAATGACAACAAAATACAACGTCCTAACAATCACCCCCAACAAAGCCTAGGCAAACCTCTTCCAGCAGGTGGGCCAGGTCACCCTCTGGCACAAATAAGCACACAGGTGCAGCCGTTTATGCAAACAGGTGTCTTCGATTTCTCCCCTCGCACAGTCTGGATAATATGGGGTCAGTATGTGGAGTGTAGGATAGAGAAGACGAACGAGAGTCACCCAATACAATTCTTTCCACAAATTAGGGAACCCTTCCACCTACGCTTCTCACTCTTTCAAACCTTCCTTTCCAAGTAGCCCTTCCCGCCAAAGGAGTCTCAAAAAGGCGACCTGTTGTAGCTCAGGGGATGCGGTCACAGCCGCTGCCCCACGTCTCTCTTTGGGGGTCCAGCTGCCGCCTCTACTCCTCGGGCTGTATTTGCAGAGATTGAGGTGATGTGCCAGTGGGCACGGTGGGGGGCGTTAATACGGATCCTCCTCCCCCACGACTACAAACACCCTCTGTGTCTGCCAAAAGCCTTCGCCCAATCGCCCCTTCACTCTTTTCAAGTTCAGCTCAGGTGCAGTGTGACAGTTACAGAGCCCAGGAGCTGCCAGCCGCCGCCGCCGTGGCGGCAGCAGCATCTGCCTCCGCGCCGAACGCGCCGCGCCCGCGGTACATACCTGGCCAAGTGCGCGCCGGGGCTGAGTTGCAAAGAGACTTTCTCCTCGCCGTGCACCCGGAAAGGGAAGAGGAGAGAAAGCAGCTCGCGAGCAGCTGAATCCGATGCGCCGAGGGAGCATAAATAAAGCTCAAGCGAGCTCTTCTTCCCCTTCCCCCATCCCTCCGTGCTTCCCTCCTCCTTTTCACCTTCCAAAAGCCAGGCGCAGGCGAGCAGAGCAGCAGCAACAAGTTCAAAAGGTGCGGGGGAGGCGAGAACGGAGGGGACCCGCTCCTGCCAACTTACTGCGGGGCCACTGTCGCGGGGGCCTGGCCGGCGCGGTGCGGGGCTGCGGGGCGGCGGGGCTGCGGGGCTGCTGGGCGGGCGGCGGCGGCGGTGCGGCGGGGCCGTGGCCGGGGCCGGGGCCGGGGCCGGCACGGGCTCTCGTCCGAGCGCGGAGGCAGAAGGCGCTCGGCAGCGCGGGGGCGCGGGAGGGCTGCTCGCTGCTTCCCCGCCAGTGGGTGGTCCCGCATCTCCCCGGGCTCCCCGCGCTGCTCTGCTAGTGCGATCAATAAATAAGGAGAAAATAAATAAATAACCGCGCGCACGCCCCGCCACGCAGGTTAGGAAAGGCGTCTCCTGCCTTTCCCTCGGCTTGACCTTTCTCCGCCCCCGCCCCCTCGGGCTCCTCTCGCTCCACCCCAGCCACCCACCAGCCCCGGCGCAAAATGTCACCGAGGGAGAGCATCCAGGTGGATCTGCCGGGGAGGAGAGCGAGCCTCGGATGAACAAAGGGAAGCTTCTCGCGCTGGGCTGCGGTGGTTTGGTGGAGGAGAGGAGGAAGGGGACCCGCTTCTGCCTCCCGAGTCCCGGTTCAAGGCGAGCGTGGGAAAATGGGGGGAAAGAGAGCTAGAGAAGCTGGGAAGGAGGGTGAGCGGAGCGGAATGCGCAGGAATTGGTTGTCTTCTGGGGGCGACTGGAAGGCAAGACCTGCAAAGCCCCGAGGCGGAATTTTTAAGTGCATTTCCTCTTTCTCTTTTTTATTTATTTTCCATACCAGTTTGTTAACGTTGCAGGGATTAATATGCCATCTATCCAACTTGCCAAGAAGTCAGAGAGTCTCCTCGGTCGAGGTCTTGCCACAACTCCTTTTCCCGTCCTTTATGAATGACAGAGGGATGTGGAGCCGTTTTCTAAATGTCATCGTCAAGGGGCGTGCGTCTCTGAGAGTGTGTGTCCCCTTCAGCCTCCCTGCGCATCGCTGTGCATATTTAAAATGGTTAAAGTAGTTAAAGGTCTTCCTATGAGGGGTTACTGATGTGGAAAGACACAGGAAAATTGTCGCGACCAACCGTTTTGTTTTTCGCGTACCCCGCCCCCGAGTCATTAGGAATCATCCTTAAAACCAAACATAACACATACAGCCACTAGATGGCGCGGATGGCGAGAAGTTGTGCCTAAGGTTTGGATGCTTTAGGAAGGTGAAGGTTCAAAATTAACTGGCCCAACAGAGAATCAGATCATATAGACCTTCTCAAACCCTTTCGCTCCCACCCACCTTTTTAGTGTTTATATGAGATATACTACTTAGGCTTGAGTCTGCATTTGGATAGTTGTGGGATGAGGTATGTAGTTTCCTTTTGAAATCCCTTTGAAAATTAAATCTAGATAACTGAATCATCATCATCATCATAGTAATTAAGATCTTTGGCAATACTGAGGCTTCATCTATATTGATTGAGAATAGAAGCCTGATTTCTACCCAAAAATTGCTTTTCATGGCTTGGTTTGACTGCCTTGGTTTGTAAAATAAGTGGACTATGTTATACTTTACAGAAATTGACTTTTAAGCCCTAGAGATTATAGGCGTCATGTGTCAACCTTAAAACCTTGAAATGGGATACATCAAAGAAAATATATAAACTAAAAGTGAGTATAGAAAATAACCAAAGGATAAAGAATATCCTTATCATGTACAGGATTTTCTGTAGAGATAAAAAGGTATTTTTTGTTTATTTGTTTACAGAACAGAGATTTAAGGAATTCTGTGTTAGTAGTAATGAAGTCAGAGCTAACACACCATGTAAGTTTGAGAACATGGAACTGAAGACACCTGCTGTTTATCTATTTGTATTTGTTTACGAGAATGATGTTTGTTAACCAATCTATATAGCCTGCATATGTGAAAACAAACACACAAATATGTTACCTGGAAATGGAAATGAGGGGCTTACCTACCAGAAGTATAAGAAAATCAACCCCTCCTTAGTCCAGACAGTAAGGTGGCACTATGACAGGTGCTGGGCATGGAATCCAGAGGATGGAGAGTCATGAATATTAATCAGTGACAATAATGTCATGCCTTCCTGTAAAGACGGGGCAAGGAACCTAAACAGAGTCTTTAAAACTGTGTAGGAAACTGAATACTTACAAATGTAAAAGTAGGAGTTTAACTTTACAAAAGCCCCAAAGAAGCAAGAATATAATATGTGCAGTTTTTAAGAAGGTATTGGGATCTGCCCTCCCCCATCTTCAACAAGCTTCTTGATATAGTGGAAAGAATGTGGGCTGAGAACTTAAACACATCTAAATTCAAATTCTTGCTTAAGAAATTACTTACTGGCTTTGTTTCATTTGGCAAATTACTTAACTTCTATGATTAGAAATTGTAGATAATGAAATTTAACTTTTCAGGCCTGTTGTCAGGATTAAACAGGATCGTACTTCTGAACACCAGTGAAATACTTAGCACATGGAGTGTACTCAATATTGGTTCTTTTTATTGTAATGCATAATGCTATGCAATTCATTTTATCCAGTCTATATTTGGAATTCCATAGATACTTTTGCATAGTTATGTGTTGCTTAATGACAGGGATACATTCTGAGAAATGTATCTTGAGATTTCATCACTGTGTGAATATCATAGAATGTACTTACCCAAACTTAGGTAGCATAGTCTACTACACACTCATGCTATGTGATAGCTTGTTACTCCTAGACTACAAACCTGTACGTCATGTTACTGTACTGAATACTGTAAGCAATTTGTAACACAATGGCAAGTATTTTAATCTCTAAACATATCTATACATAGAAAAAGTACAGTAAAAATATGGTATAAAAGATTTTTAAGTATGATACACCTTTATATGGCACTTACTAGGAATGGAGGTTACAGAACTGGAAGTTTGGGTGAGTCAGTGACTAAGTGGTGAATGAATGTGCAGGCATAGGACTTTACTGTACACTTCTGTAGCCTTTTAAATAGTGTATACTTAGGCTATGCTAAATTTATTTTTTAAATTGTATTCTTTCATCAATAATAAATTAACTTTAGCTTTTTTTAACTTTTTTACTTTAAAAACTTCAATTTTTAACTTGTTGACTCTTTTGTAATAACACCTGAAAACACAACACACTGTACAGCTGTACAAAAATATTTTACTTATGTCCTTATTTGTAAGTTTTTGTGTATTTTTGCACTTTTTTTTTTACTTTTTAAATAGTTTGTTAAAAACTAGGACACAATTACATTAGCACAGACCTACACATGGAGTAGGATCATCAGTATGAATGTTTTCTATATCCACATCTTTTCCTACGGGATGTTCTTCATCCTGTTTCAGGGACAGTCACATGCATGGAGCTGTCATTTCCTTTCATACTGATGACTTCTGGAATACCTCTTGAAAGACCCTGCTTCAGGCTGTTTTACAGTTAACTTTCTTTTGTAAGTAGAAGGAGTACACTCAAAAATAATAATTAAAAGTATAGTATAGTAAATATGTAAACCAGTAACATAGTTGTTTATTATCTTGATAAAGTATTATGTACTGTACATAATTGTATGTGCTATACTTTTGCAGGACTGGCAGCACACCAGCATCCTCACAAACACCTGAGTAATGCATTAGGCAAGGCCATTACAATGGCTATGCATCACGAGGCGGTAGGAATTTTTCAACTGCCTTATAATCTTTTTGTTTCTTTCCAACTTTTATTATAGGCTCAAGGGGTACATGTGCAGGTTTGCTACATGGATAAATTGTGTTTTTTAGGGGTTTGGTTTACAGATAATTTTGTCGTGCAGGTAATCAGCATAATACTCAATAGGTAGTTTTCCAATCCTCCCCTCCTCTTAACCTCCACCCTCAAGTAAGCCCCGGTGTTCACTGTTTCCTTCTTCGTGTTCATATATGCTCAGTGTTTAGCTCCCACTTATCAGAGAGAGAATATGTAATATTTGTTTTTCTGTTTCTATGTTAATTCACTTAGGATGATAGTCTCGAGCTCCATCCATGTGGCTGCAAAGGAAGTAATTTGTTGTTTTTTAATGGCTAAACAATATTCCATAGTGCATATGTGCTATATTTTCCTTTTCCTGTCTGCTGTTGATGGGCATATAGGTTGATTTCATGTCTTTGATATTATGAATAGTCCTGTGATGAACATGCATGTGCATGTGTCTTTATGGTAGAACAATTTCTATTCCTTTGGGTATGTATCCAGTAATGAGATTGCAGGGTTGAATGGTAGGTCTATTTCAAGTTCTTTGAGAAATCTCCAGACATTTTTCTATAGTGACCAGGTCAATCAGACAAGGGAAAGAAATAAAAGGGATCTAAATAGGAATAGAGGAAATTAAACTACCTCTCTAGAATACCCCGAAGTCTCTGCCCAAATATTTCTGTCTCTGGTGAACAACTTCAGCAAAGTTTCAGGATACAAAATCAATGTACAAAAATCACTAGCATTCCTATACACCAATAACAGCCAAGCTGAGAGCGAAATCAAGAAGGCAATTCCATTCACAATAGTCAATTATAATCTTACGGAACCACTGTCCTATTTAGTCCTCATTGACTAAAATGTTACTTGTATGTCTGTATTTTCTCTTTCCTCTGAACTCAAAAATCCCCTTGTTCTGATATTCAGATGATACTGATATTCTAATATTCATTTATGTTTTGAAATGCTACATAAAAGTAGGCATGCAAACTCTAGAAGAGCACTATATGTGTCTCCCTTGCTTACGGATTCTAATTCTTTACTCTTCACATTTTATATACTCTGCTTGGTTGATTACAAAGAAAACATACTCAGCAAGATCAAAATTGAATGCTTCATCCCTCTCTTCCAATCATCTACTTCCATTGTTTTCTCTCTTGATCAATGAAGTCCCAGAAAGAAACCTGGTAGTCATCCTGTTCTTTACTACTTCCCCTCAGCAAACACACAGATTCATCCAATGACCCAGAAGATCTTATATTCCACTCTTATTACCATCTATCCTTACACTGCACCTATAGTGAGTTAAAATAAACAAAAAAACTATTTTGAGATAATTATAAATTCACATGCAGTGTTGAGAAATAATAGAGATTCCTTATGTATATCACCTAGTTTTCCCCAAAGGTAACATCTTGTATATTAAAATATAGAATCACGTAAAGGAAATTGACATTGATGCTTCCTTAGTCCATTCAAACTACAATAAAAAATACCATAAACTCGGTGGCTTATAAACAACAGAAATTTATTTTTGATAGCTCTGAAGGGTAGAGATTCCAAGATAAAGGAGCTGGTAAATTCAGAGTTTGCCAAGGGCCTGCTTTCTGGTTCAGCCCCTGTGGGAGGGTAGAAGCCTGCTTTTTATAAGCACCAGTAACAAACTCAGATGGGTTTAACATGGAACAACCCCTCTTTCCAATTTTCATAATTTTTCTTCTTCCCTGACTTTACGGAGCCTTTACTCCCCAGCCGCGTATTCCTTCATTCTTCCTTTAAAATACCTGGTGACCTCTGCACAAATTGATCTCCGCTTTAACTAGTGTCCTTCCAGCTTTGACAGGTTTTCCTTGACAGTAGTGATATTTCATTGTGGTTTTAATTTGCATTTCTCTAAT